GCGTGGGCGGCCAACAGGCCAGTAAAACATACCCACCCTGGCGTGGGCGGCGAAGAGGCCAGTAAAACATACCCACCGTGTCTGGGCGGCCAACAGGCCAGGAAAACGTACCCAGAAAACCAGGTTTCGGGACAGCGATCCGCGAGTCACGGAACACTGTTCCGGGAATCGCGGAACAGGTTCCGCGGCGCGGGAGGGGCTCTGGGGCGTGGCCCCAGGGGAGCACGCCCTCGCCTGAAGCCCCGCGTGGTTCTGTTTCCAAGGGCAGCGGCCCTGGGGCCCCAGGGGGCGAACCCGTGGGAGGCGGGAGAGGGCATTCATGAATCCCCCGAACGAGTCGTCGGACACCACAGACCCACCAGGTCGGCCGAAGACCCGATGGCATTGCTTGTGTCTGGCGTGTCCAGGACGAGGTGCGGCCCGCGACCGCGTCGTGGGCGCCCAAAGCCACGTCTGCCCCTGAGTCGTCTTGGAGACCCCAGGTACTCGACGAAACTGGCGTGGAGCGCGTGCTCACGGACGAGGCCGCCGAGAAGGCTGGCAGGCACATGAGTCATATGTCGGATGCCTTCTTCGCCGAGCCCGAGGCCCTGAACGATGGCGACCACAGAGACGACGACGATGACGGCGCCGACGACGACGACGACGACCCCGACGATACCGATACCGACGACTACGACGAGGACGCCGACGCCGGCGACGACGACGACGACGAGGACGCCGACGACGGCGGGGGCGGCCGCGGCGACGGCGACGGCGACGACGGCGGCGACGGCAGCGGCGACGGCGTCGTCGGCGGCGGCGGCGGCGACGGCGAGTGCTTGGGCGCGCCGGCTCCGCCCCCTCCCCAAGAGGGCCTCCTGGCAGAGAAGAGGAAGCAGAACGCGAAGCTGCTGCGAAAGCAGCCGCGCGTGGCGTCCAAGAAGTTCGTCCTCCGCGTGGACAGGTTCATCGAGATGTACGCAGACATTGGCCTGGAGCAGTTTCAGAATCTGCCCGCCCTCGAGAAGCTGGGCCTGCTGACGGCAGCGCGGACAGGGCAGGCACTCCCAGGACCGCTGGCCGCACCCCTGCCGGACGACCTGCAGATCCCGTCGCTGGCGATATGTTCTGACCAGGAGCAAGTCCAGATCACCGGTGCCGAATTCATATTCGCCCCACAGCCCCAAGGCCTCGCCTGCACGGGCGTTCGCCTCGCGGACGAGTTCCACCGCTGGCACAACGACCTGTCGATGGCGATAAGCCTGAGCGGCCTGGCCCCTGTCGTCCAGGCAGGCACTCTGGTCTTCAACATCGGGCACGGCCCGTGGCAGAGCCACGCGTTCTTCCACCAGTTGTGCGCGGAGGCAGGGCGCGTGGGGGCGGCCCTGAGCGCAGACTCGCAGCTGGCTCTCCGGTTCTGGCCGCGGCGGAAGGCAGACCTTGAGGACGACGGCGACCAGCCAGACCAGGCGGCAGCGAGGAAGGAATGGTTGCGTGGCCTGCCTCGTGAATTTGACATCATGGGGGCCAAGGTGGCGCCGTCCAAGTGGATGTCCTTCTGTGATGCTGGGTTTGAGTGGTCGAAGAAGCTGGCGAGCCGCTCTCTGACCATGGCGTCTCTCTGCATGCACAAGGGGTGGATCGTCGCTTCGGAGGACCTGTTCGCCAGCACGCGCCTCCTCAACGTCGGCGACGGCGTTAAGCCAGCACCCAAATCAAAGGCTGAGGCTGTGAAGTCCGCGAAGGACAAGTTGGAGCATCTGAAGGCGAAGACGCAGAACACCGTGGTCACTGCTACCCGTCTCCTGTGCGACGACGACGTCGTCGCCGGTTTGCGGCTGGTCCTCCATGCCGCTGAGGCTCAGCATATCGCCTTCGGAAAACTGACGAAAGACTTTACCGGCACCGAGGGCACTCTGAAAGTGTGTCTGGGGTGGGCCCGCCAGGAGTGGTTAGACTTCTTGAAGAAGACACTCAAGTGCATGGACAATTCCGCGGGCCTCAAGCGTTGCGGCTTCATCGTCAACATGACCGCTGCCATGCGCCACGGCGCGAAGCCAGCGGAGGGGGCCTTGAAGTACCAGGACGCACTAGCTCACAGACTCGGGATCCTCGTGGAAAAGATTGTCGCCCTGCGGGCAGGGTCCTTGGCAATGCGTTCTTTCTACTACCCTGGAAAACTGGCGGGTCTGCTGTCGACGGAGCAGGACGAGTTCGATTCGTGCATGGCAGAATTTCAAACGGACGTGCGCGCCTGGTGGGCAGCGCAGGACGCCCTCCCCCCCCCCTCCATCTCTCCTTTGTCACTCCCTTCTCCCTCCTGTCTCCCCCCCCCGTCGCCGCCTTTTCCATCCCTCCCCTCCCTCCATGAGTCCTCCCCCCCCCTCACCCCTCCTCCTGGGTGGGGGGTGGGGGCTCCAAAATGCACGTCGGCAGTTCCACGTCGAAGATCGATGGTCCAAGGCAGAGTTTCGAATTTCGAACTTCGACGCCTGTGTTCCAAGATGCATGTGCAAAGGTTCAACCTTTGAGCTTTGGGCCCTCCTTTCGCTGAGCCCCGCCTGCAGGCTTCTCGCCGCCTTCGCTCGTATTCGTCGTTGTCGTCGTCGTCCTCTCGTCGTCGTCGTCGTCGTCTTCGTCGTCTTCGTCGTCATCGTCTTCGTCCTGGTCGTCGTCGTCTTCGGTGTCGCCTTCGTCCTCGTCTTCGTCGTCGTGGTTGCGTTCGTGGCCGTAGTCGTCGTCGTCGTCGTCTTCGTCGTCGTCTTCGTCTTCGTCTTCGTCGTCGTCGTCGTCTTCGACGTCGTCGTCGTCGTCGTCGGTGGCCCAGGAGCACAAGGAGTACCCCAAGGTCGTTTTAGCTGTGGCCCGCTGTCGGTTCCACCAGCCCTTTTACCTGTGGTGCATTGGACTTGCGGCGAAAAGCCAGTTCGGTGCTCTGCCAAGAGCGTTGGAGGAGCTGTTGAAGTCCACTTTCACCGGCTGGTGCCAGACTCGCGTGTGCGAGAAAGCCAACAAGGTGCTGCGCGACCAAGAAACCCTCACGACCAGCAACAAGGCAAGAGAGGGTCAAAGGGAGCGTGCCTTGGGCTCCTGTTCGCCCCTTCTCGGCCTCCCCTTCGTCCGCTTCCGTGCCGGGCGTGTCCCCCGCCTCCCTCCGCGTCGATGCACTTTCCCAATGTGCGACGTCGTCGTGGCTCTGGCCGCCGTTGCCCTGCAGATGGCCCCCCGATGACTTTCCCTTCGCGTGCGTTCCAACGGCGTCCAGGGGCACGCAGGTGTCACACATGACAAGTACTCGTGTCCCCCGCAGACGGTGTCGAGCATGGCGCAGTGGGACACCCTGGTCAGGAACGACGTCATCGGGGAATTCGAGCGCGCGGAGGTGGAGGCCTTCACGAAGGTGAACCTGAAGGACGACGCGGAGATGAAGGCATTGTTCCAGGATGCTCAGACGACAAGCCGCCCGGTGCCAGTTGGGGCAAAACCTCAGGCGAAGGCCCGTGCCCAGGCGCGGAACGCCCTCCTGGAGCAGACGGACAAAATCAGGGACGAGAGCAAGTTCAAAGCATTCACTCCTGCGAGCGAACAGAATTTATGCGCGGAGTTGCAGTTCCTGCGCGTGCTTCACGAGGGCGACCTGTGGGAGAAGGCGAACGACTGCTGGGTGACTGGGTTCCTGCCGCCAGGCGGGCTCGTCCGTATCAAGTCCACCAACGAGACGCTGTTCGTCCTGAAGACGTACTGGTGCTCCGCGCTGTGCTGGCCGGCCGAGCGGGAGGGCGAGGGCGTGCGGCGAAAAGCCAGAGGGTGTGCGTCACTCGTTTGGCGCACCGTCTTCGACGCCGACGACGTGGAGGTATTTCCCGTCCAGTGGAAATCTCCTGTGCGCATGTTCTTGGAGGACAGGGGGCGGGCGCGCGCGTTGAGCCCCTTCCTTCCCCCGACGGCGACAAGCCAGGCCAGCTTTCCCCTCTCCCCACCCCCGTCCTTTCCACCTCCCCCCCTCCTTGAGTCCGTTCCCCCTGTCCTCCTCCATCCCGCTTCTTTTGACGAAGGGCCTCCAAAAAAACGACGTTCAGAGATGGAAGTTCGAAGTTCGAAGTTCGAACTTCGAACTCGGAAGTTCCAAATTCGAACTTCGATTTTCGAACTTGGACCTTCTTCGGTTCGAGGCCGTCCTGGGGAGTGCGAGTTTCCAATGTCGAACTTTGGAGGCCCCCCCGCCCTTCCCTGCTGGTTTCTCGCAGCAAGGGGAATCGAGCGTGCGTCAGAAGGCAGGGGCGGCGAGAAGCGGCGAGGAGCCTCCGCCCTTGCTGGCTTCTCGCCGTTCGTTGTCGTCGTCGTCGTCTCCGTCGTTGTCGTCGTCGACGTCGTCGTTGTCGTCGTCGTCGTCGTCGTCGTCCGTCGTCGTCGTTCGACGTCGTCGTCGTCGTCGTCGTCGTCGCCGCCGCCGCCGCCTCGGCGGCCGCGGCCGCCGCCGCCGCCGCCGTCGTCATCGTCGTCATCGTCGTCGTCGTCGTTCGTCGTCGTCGTCATTCGACGTCGTCGTCGTGGTCGTCGTCGTTGTCGTCGTCGTCGCCGTCGTCGGCGCCGCCGCCGCCGCCGCCGGCGCCGCCGCCGCCGTCGTCGTCGTCGTCGTCGTCGTCGTCGTCGCCGTCGTCGTCGTCGTCGTCATCGTCGTCGTCGTCGTCGTCGTTCGTCGTCGGCATCGTCGCCGCCGCCGCCGCCGCCGTCGCCGCCGCCGCCGCCGCCGGCGCCGCCGCCGCCGCCGCCGCCTCCGCCGCCGACGCCGCCGACGCCGCCGCCGCCGCCGCCGCCGCCGCCGCCGTCGTCGTCGTCGTCGTCCTCGTGGACGTCGTCCTCGTCGTCGTCGTCGCCGTCGTCGCCGTCGTCGCCGTCGTCGTCGCCGTCCTCGTCGTCGTCGTCGTCGTCGTCGTCGTCGTCGTCGTGGGTGGGCGCCAGAAAGACTCTGAAACTGAAGTCCCCCCAAGAGGGTTTTCGGAGCTCGCGGGTGCCAGCTCTCGTCCCCTGAGGGCTACAAGGGCGCGCAGATCGGCGCGCGGGCAGTCGCGGCTGCTGCGCGGCCGTTGCTCAACGCGCAAGCCGAGTCGGGGTTCCCTGGCGTTGGAGAGGAGTCATTGGAGGCTCTCCTGATTAGCAAGGGGAAGGCGTTGCCAGCAGACGCCTCCGCGGCCGACCACCGCAAGACGGACTTGGTTCTGGCTGCGATTTCGGCGATCAAGCCAGACTTGACCGACAAGGAGGCGTCTGAATGCCTGTGTCGGGGGTTCTTGCAAGAGCTGCCCGACGCGTGCGTTGACCTCTACGTCCCGCCCGACACGCTCGGAGAGGTGCTCGTGCCAGGGGAAGCTCAAGCCGTGGAGAAGTACGCCGTGCAGGTGGCGGCGGTGCACGCGGAGAGGGAGCACATCGTGGCCACCCGCGACAAGCGCGTGCAGAAGTACTTCAGGAGGGCCCCCGCACCGGCGCACAGCCAGACGCAGAGAAAAGGCCCGCGGTGGCTGCCCGAGAAGGACGCCAAGAGCACCGAGCAGATCACGAAGTGGATGCTGAAGTGGGTCCCTCGGGGGGGATCCATTGACGTGGACGACTATAATGGCCGTTGGCGTGCGCTGTGCCCGCCGACGAACCAATGGAAGTCTGTGTCGTGGACGAAGCGGGGCTACGAGTGCGCAGCCTGCGAGGCGATTTGGTGGACGTGGACGTTCCATTACGATTTCACCAAGGAGGCCGCTCCATTTGACATGGAAGAACTGGCCAAACGCTTCCGCGAGGCGGAGCTTCCGTGAGCGACGAAGCAATGTGTGTATCGATGACAGGCAGCGCTGCAGCACTTTTTGACGTCATCCTGTCTGGCGCTGCTCGTCCGCAGTCTGTTCGGCGTCAAGCCTGTGCTGCGGCCCGCTCAGTTTCACCTGCTAGAGGCGCAAGCTTGTGCTGCCCCCATTTTTCGGCGTCAGCCTGTGCTGCGCCCCAATGTCTGTTGTTTTGCGTATTGGGCGGCGCCGACGCGAGGCAGCAGTGCCGAGGAGTAGGTTCGCGGAAAAACTTCCCCCTCCTACGTCCCCCTTTCCTCTTCCATCCCATTTCTCGTGGCGGGAGGGGGGGGGGGGGGGAGGGGGGCCTCCAAAGCGCGACGTTCAGAGTTGGATGGTCGAAGTTCGAAGTTCTAACTTAGACCTCCTGATTTCGAAGTTCGGGCTTCGAAGTTCGAACTTGAAACGTCGTCGGTTGGAGGCCCTCCAGGGCATGGCGAGTTTCGAATATATACCTTTGGAGGCCCCCCCTGCCCTTCCTCAGCCTGCAGGCAGGCTTCTCGCCGCCCTCGCTCGCTCCGTTCCTCTTGCCCTTCCCCCCCTCTCGGTCCGCCGTCTGCCTTCGTGCTCCTCCTTCCGTCTGCGTCACCCCCCTCGCCCCCTCTCCGCCCGCCCGTCTTCCCTGTCGCCCGCCCCCCATCCATCTCGTCTTCGGCAACCGTTAGGCTCAAGCGCAGTGCGTCTGAGAAGCCTTTCGGCGACAAGCCTGCCGCGGCCCCCCAAACTCCGCCACGGAGCCCCTCGGCGCAGCCATGTCCTCCAGCAGCCGCGCCGAGAAGGCCGCAGACAAGGAGGCCGCGGCCATCCTCGCGAGCCTCAGCAGGGCGGGCGAGGCGGCCATCGAGCAGACGGTCGAGGACACGGTGAAGATCCTGCGTGCCGACCCTGGCCTGCTGTACCACTTGAACGCGCTCCTCCACAACGAGGAGTGGATGGCGGTCCTCAGGGCGTCTGCCACCTCCAAGCCTGCCGAGAGCGGCGAGAAGCCCGAGCCGGAGCAGCCACAGGGCAAGAGGCTTCGCGCGGGCTTGAAGAAGTTCGAGCACCTGGACAGGCAGAGGGCGGAGGAATCTTCATGCCCTGATTTGCGCCCGCTCCATCCCCCCCTCCCCCTTCCCCCTCCTGCCGGCTCTCGGCCCTCTTCCTCCTCCCACCCCCCCATCCCCCCCAAGAGTCAGGGGGGGCCCAATTTGCACACGTCGAACTTCGAAATTCGAAGTTCGAAGTTCGAACTTCGAAGGTCCACGTTCGAACCTGGAGCTTTCGAGGCTTTCCTGGTTTGCCCTTCCCTGGCCTCGTGGCTTTTCGCCGCCCTCGCTAGCGCGCTCACAAGAGCATAAACGTCAGTTTCGCCGTCGTCCGTCGTCGTCGTCGTCGTCGTCCCGTCGTCGTCGTCGTCTTCGTCTTCGTCGTTGGCGTCGTCATCGTCGTCGTCGTCGTCGCCGTCGCTGTCGCCGTCGCCGTCGCCGCCGCCGCCATCGTCGTCGTCGTCGTCGCGCCTCGTCTCTGTCGTCGTCTTGTTTCGCGGCCTTAGTCGCCACCAGACAAGGCAGAACGGTCTTGTCGACTTCTTGCTCCACAAGATGGAGCCCGAGCGCTTCCCGGAAACGCCGCTCGACGGTTGCTGGTGCGAGGCTTTCAAGCTGGGCCTGCTCTACCTGGGGCTCAGGGTCGGTCCAGACACCCCGCTCCCGACGATCACCTACGAGGGCCTGGAGACTTGGGAAGCTTTCGGCACGGCGCTAAGCCAGCACTACACCGCGAAGGGGCGCCCCCTGAGCACCGAGTACACCGACGACGACCTCAGGGACGGCTTTTACAGCGGGGCGAAGGGCGACAGCGAGGACGAGTGGTCGGTCACGTGCCGCCTCGACCACCAGGAGCCGAAGGCGGTCCTCAAGTTCGCCGCCGTGGAGCTTGAGTTTGATGACCCCTTCAACTACAACACGAGCTTGTCGCTCAAGAAAGACGACGGGCGCTCGTACAAGGTCGAAGACCTCCTGGGCGAGTTCGCAGCGAAGGGCGTCGTGGCTCCACCCCGCTCGCCGGACTGGACGGGCGCCGCCTTCGCGAAGAAGAGGGAGCCGACCACCCCGAAGCAGCCCGCGGACGGCGGCAAGGGCAAGGCCAAGGGCAACAAGCGGCCCTCCCCTTCGCCGCCGTCGGGGGCGGGGGTGTCCGACGCCCTGCGCAAGCGCCTCGCCACGAAGTCGTCGGGTAGTGGCCCGTCGTCGGGGGCTGCTCGCTGAGGTGGGTGCTCAGGCGAAAAGCCGACGACAGTGAGAGTCCCTGTGCGAGTTTTAAACGCGCGCGCCCGCTGATGCATGGCCTTTTTGATTGCTGCCGATGCGCGCTGCGTCAGCGCCGCGGCAAGGAAAGCGGCGACAAGCCTGTCCTCGTGCATTTTTTTCGCGCTGCGCGTGCGCTGGGCTCCACGACAAACTACAGGCTGTGCTGTACAGCAACTTTACGGTTTCCCCGCATCCCTCTCTGCTCCGAGAGACGACGCTGGCACGTGAAGCGAACGGCTAAGCGCGCCGTTTGGACTGGCCGTGGCTCGGAGGTGAGAGGCCTCTGCACCCGCGGCGTTGGCCTGACGCTGTGCGCACGTCGGCGCCTCGTTGTCGACTGCGGCCTGCCGCGCTCCTGGAGCTGAAAAAAGAAACATTACTTTCATGGATGCCGTTCGGCCTCGTTTGAGCCTTCCACCTCCTCCTCCTCCCCCTCCTCTCTCCCTGTTCCTCCCTCCTTCCTTCCCCCGAGCGCGAAAAGCCAGGCCCGCCCTCCCCTCTCCGCCCCCTGCGCGCTCTCCCCCCTTCCCCCCCCCCCTCCCCCGCCCCCCTGTCTTCCTCCGCCCCGCTCCTTTTGGCGGGGGGCTTCCGAAAAAGAAGATTTAGAGTTAAAAGTTCGAAGTCCGAAGTTCGAAGTTCGAACTCCGAACTTCGAAATTCGCACTTCGAAATTCGAACTTGGAACCTCGTCGGTTCGAGGCCCTCCTGGGGGGTGCGTGTTTGAAACTTCAACCTTTGGGACCACCCCCTCCTCCCCTTCCGTGCCCCTTCCCCTTCTTGCCACTCCCCCTCCCCCCTCTTGCCCTCCTGCTCGCCCCCGACGTGGACGCGCCGAGGCGCAGAAACAATGCCAACAGCAAGCGCGCCTATGCGTGAGCCCCCTTCATGCGCGGTCGTGGGAACGACTACTGATGCGGATCGGTACAACGTCGTTGTTAAGACGTAAAGAAATAATCTCATCGATTGGTTCGCTTCCCAATGCGTTTGGTGTCAGCCGTTGGTGCATTAAGAAAAAAATGGCCCCTTCGCGCGCGTGTTTGCCCCATTGCGCGTTGGGGTTGCGCGGGTGTCAGAAAACGTCAACAGAAGTGCACTTGTGCTTGCGCAACGTAATCTTTCCGAGTGAAAAACACACGCGTGTTCTAGCGTTTACACATTTGCACGCACGTTGCAAAGAATATGTGCCGCGTGTTTCCGTGGCCCCTGAGGTCATGCCACAGCGTTAAGCGAATAGACAGAGCCCCCCCGAGCGACAGGCGACCGTGCATGAGTAGGTCCATGAAACGGTACGCACAGAATACTGCGCGGGATAGCATTCCAAAAAATGCGGAACACCTTCCCGAACCAGTGGAACCTGGGTACGTTTTAAGGTGGGTATGTTTTCCCGGCCCGTTGCCCCCGCCCAAGTCGCAGGCCGGGCAGAAAGCCTCCTCGCTCGCTAACTGTACCCGCAAGCGCCTCTGCAGAGCGATCTGCATCAAGCCGTGCGGGAAGGCCGTGCCGACTTCGGCGCACGGCCGCGCCTGCAGCCAGCCGCAGGCGCCCTCCGCGCTCACCAGCGAGAGGTGGGCCCTGGTGGCGAGGCTGGTGCGTTCCCAAAGTTTGGCCTTGGCGTTTTTTTTTCCAGTTTGTCAGAGAGGCCCCGCTGGTCGCTGCGCTGGCTGGCGTCGAACTCAATCCTGTCCGCCTGCTGGGGCCGGGCGTTGTAGGATCTCGCGGCCGCGCCCACAGCGCCGTCGGCGCTTGTGTCGTCGTCGGAGTAGCCCGCCAAGAGCTGCCAACAGAGCGCAGAGCAGGCTGCGCGGGAGGCCAGGCAAGCGGCGGGCGCGTGGCGCTCTGCTGAGCGCAGCCCCAGGTCGCCTGCCTCGAGGGCGAGCTGCGCCTGCGCCCAGGAGTCGTCCGTGGGGGAGCTGCTAGTCAGTTGCTCGAGGCTGGCGCGAACTGCGTTGTCGAGGGCAACCAGCGCCTCCGTTTGCAGTATGGGCGTGGCAACCCGCGCCGAGTAATTGAGTCTGCAGAATCCGGCTCATTGCCGCAGCAAGTGGAGCGCGACTTGGGCGTTCTCGAGATCGCCGAGGGCCTCGAGGAGCTCGGTGGCCTTGTCAATTCGCTGCTGGGTGTGATCGCGGCAGAAGGCGCCGCTGCCGACTGGCGCGTCCAGGAGTTCGAAGCAGCCGTCCGCGCGCAGGCGGAAGCCCGCGGGGGAGGCCTACAGGTCCACCTCGCTGTCGTCGCCGCCAGGGGGGCCACCTCGCATTTCCCAGGCCCCGTGCTCAGGCGGAGCCCCACGGCCGCCAGCTCTCCTACCAGCAGGTGGAGGAGGTGCGCCACGGCGAGCCAGTCGCCCGCCAGGGCGCCGTCGTCGAGGAAGAAGGTCAGGTCTACGGTGCCTTCGCCCGCGGCGGCGGGCTGGCGGAGAGCCCTGTCGGCAGCGCGCTGCAGCGCCAGGGAGAAGAGCAGCGGTCCTAGGGGGTCTCCTTGCTGAGCGCCGCATTCCGAGCGGATCGAGCGCGGGCCAAGCCAGAGCAGGGAGGGAGCCCGGTAGCACCAGGAAGCCCAGGGCGCCAGGGCGGTCAGCTCCTCGTGCACCGCTTGCAGGAGGGCTTGGCGGTCGAGCGCGTTGAAGGCGTTGTTCAGGTCAAGCTTGACAAACACCTTCTGCCTGCTGCCAGCGTGGCGCGC